GCTGAGCTAGAAAATCTCTAGTGCCGATTAAGGACTAAATGAGCCCCTTGCTTGTTTAGACTTTTATTTCCTCAGTTTACACCTGAGTGTTAAAAAAACAATAAGTCAAGGTACTGTTTCCCGCAACTACAGGCAGCCTCTCCTCTGTTTGCTTGTTGTTAATGGCTAAACAGCCTTTACTAGTTAAGGAATGGATGAACAAACTAGGGTGGGAAATTCCTAAAATAAGCTTTTTTTGGTTGGTTACATTTCAGCCAAAACGCCCTAATTAAGGCAGTTCCAAACCTCAGAAATGACAAATCCGTTCCGACCCTTTAAATCCTGAAAGCAATTAAGAAACACCCCCAGCACAGAAAACTGGAATCTGATTAAGAATTCGACTGAAGAAAAAACCCAAAGACAGCGTTGCTCCAGGGCCACCAGCAGGAGCCTCCCATTCGGCACAGGACTCGGGCTCCGGGTCCAGCTTGTTTTTGCTCAGGGGGTGGAGATGACTGTGCTGTGCTCTCCAGGAGCTGGAGCTGCCCCTGCTGAAGGTGTCTGCCCCAGAGCTGGTGTCGGGCGTGTCGGGGGAGTCGGAGCAGAAACTACGGGACCTCTTCGACCAGGCTGTGGTGAGCGTCCTCCCAGTGCCAAGCTTCACGAGGGCGGGGCGAAAGGGCGGGTGGCTGGGCGTGGGCAAGGGGGGCTCTTGCTTTATTTTGGGGGGCCTGGGGTACCTTTCTCAGAAGATTTTCAAGACAATGTTGATGGCAGCAATGTTACCAATACAGACATCTTCCAAGCGCGGGTTGAGCTCTGTGATCCCGGGTTCAAGCTGGGCTCTGAGGTTGGGGTGGAATTAGTTGGCCAGGGTTCCGCAGGCAACCTCTTGGCGTCTCTTGTCCAATTGGCACCGAACCTCCGATCACGGGTCGTCTTGACTGCGCCACAGTAAAAGACGAGTGGCGTGTGGGCAATTGGAATGGTCAGAGAAGTCTGCACTTCCTTTTTTCTCTCCTGAATGGACTCACAGGCCTCGTAACTGCTCTTCCAGGTCACCTGGGTACAGACTGTATGTCAGGGTTAGGAACCAGGCAGTCACAATGCATAAAGGGGTGTCTTTCCTCATAAAGCATTGTAAATGTTAAGGGTTCAGGACTGTTAGGGTGTAAAATCAGCACATGCAAATCAGTGGGAAGCCTTTCCCCTAAGACTTAATGGTATAGAGTTGAGTTTGGGACCATACAGTAAGTGAGACTGAGTGTGTTTCACTCGTAGCCAAAGATAGCACAAAGGGTCCCCTTATAAGTCTAGGTTAAATGTAACTTTATAGCAAAATGACTTGGGGTAATTAAAATCCATAAGGATTAAAGTAATTAACTTGAGATACATTCTAAACATACATTTGAGGCGTGTATCTTACTATAGATTTAATCTACCTACATCCTATAAAAAACAAATAGAGATAGTTACCTAATCCTTAAGAGTTGTTATTATAATTTATTGTATTGTATTGTATTTTCAGCTCTTTTTGAAACGAGTGCGTTCTTTAGCCTTCGGGTCATTCAGTGTTTCCGCTCTGTTTCTTCCTTCGGATTCGGTTCTTCACCGTGTTTGTGTATTGTTAAGCAACCTGAGGGACAGTGCCTGTCTCGTGATTGCTCTTTCAGAGCAGCGCGCCCTGTATCCTGTTCATCGACGAGATCGACGCCATCACCCCAAAGAGAGAGGTGGCGTCCAAGGACATGGAGCGCAGGATTGTGGCCCAGCTGCTCACCTGCATGGATGGTAGGATCCTGAGCCGCTGAGCCGCCGTGCCCTGACCTTCCGACTCGAGCGCGTCACCCCTCACTGAGCCCCTCGGCCTTTAACTCCCACCCCCGACAGATCTCGGGAGCCTGTCAGTCCCGGCGCAGGTCCTGGTCATCGGCGCCACGAACCGCCCCGACTCCCTGGACCCTGCCCTGCGCCGAGCGGGGCGCTTCGACAAGGAGATCTGCCTGGGAATCCCAGACGAGGGAGCCAGGCTCAGGTGACGGCAGGACGCTGTGCCCAAGGCGGGC